CGTATTCACACTGGAGAGAAGCCGTACAGCTGTGACCAGTGTTGGTCAGCTTTTAGACACTTGGGGCATCTAAAAGTCCATCAGCGTATTCACACTGGAGAGAAACCGTACAGCTGTGACCAGTGTGGCTCAGGTTTTACACAGTTGGGGAATCTAAAATCCCATCATCTTATTCACACTGGAGAGAAGCCGTACAGCTGTGATCAGTGTGGGTCAGCTTTTATAAGGTTGGACCATCTAAAATCCCATCAACATATTCACACTGGAGAGAAGCCGTACAGCTGTGACCAGTGTGGCTTAGGTTTTAGACAGTTGGGGCATCTAAAATCCCATCAACGTATTCACACTGGAGACAAGCCGTTTTGGTGTGACCATTGTGAGAAAGCTTTCATTACATCAAGTAAACTAAAAGTCCATCAACGTATTCACACAAGGGTGAACATGTAAGTCTGGGCCCAGTGTCAATGTGTGTCTACACCATGTAATCTACAAACCCACCACTGCAGGTGTCGGAGCTTTGAACAGAGCATGTGCACAGATCTGAAACTGTAGAAGTCATATTTTGATTTTGAGGATTAGGGCTGAACGATTTGAGCAAATAATCTAATTGTGATTCCCCCCCCAACATTGCGATTTAATATGCGATTTTATTAGCTGTTCATTTTCTGTATTAAACTTCAAGCCAAAGACGAGCACTAAGTCATTATATAGTATGACCAACATAATATTAGATTGAACATAAGACCTGACATGTTATTTGATGAAATTAAATGATGCATGAATTTATATGAATGACATTTTTATTTAAACACTTCAATTACACTAGAATACTGAATGATTTGTTGACTTCTTGAAAACATGCAATACATGCCAACAAAGTGTCAAAAAAGCCTGTTGTAAACATCAAACTAAAGTGCAGGAATATAAAAACAAATCTGGCTTTACCACACTCAGTATTCACAGGATTCTAAGTCACTGTAATAAGCATGTAAACATGCAGACTGCACTTTTTAAATGTGGGCAAGCTGTAGCGTTTATCCAGTGTGTTGATTAATGCCACGAACCCAGGCTTTGTCACCGTATTGATGGGCATCATGTCTTTCGTGATGAATTCTGTTACCGTTTTAGTAATTTCCACATGCCGTTTTGAAGTGCGTTCATAAGGAGTTACACTTTCAAACATTTCTGTCAGTGATGCCTGCCTGGTGGTAATTGGCTTACTTGAACCGGTCTGCTGCATTTTAGATATGCAACTATCATGCATGGTTTTGTGGTGTTTTTTCAAGTGCTGAATCAAGTTCGTTGTGTTACCACGTGAGGTAGCAACGCTAGCAAGGCAGGTTTTGCACAATACCTGACGCTGCGTGACATCTTCCTTTTTAAACCCAAAATAGTCCCACACAGCAGAACTGCTGCTCCTCTTTGGCACTAAAGTTTCTGGTTCAGGGTCCGGTTGTGTCGAGCCCGAGGCTATTTTACAGCAGGTCAAGTAACAAGTTATGCTACAGCGTAGTGTGACAAGATGCTCCATCATCTGCAGATTGCGCTCGCGTGTCATGTGACCAGACTATAATTGCACCTATTGCAATTAGAAAATTGTGTTTTACGTGATGGTGATTTAATCGCAAATGCAATTAATCGTTCCCTACTATTGAGGATCTTCATGATGATTACTGGGGCAAAGTGTTTGGAATCTGGGTCAGCTTTTAAAGATTTGGGGAGTCTAAAGTACCATCAACGTATTCACACTGGAGACAAGCTGTTTTGGTGTGAACAGTGTGAGAAAACTTTCATTACATCAAGTAAACTAAAAGTCCATCAATGTATTCACACAAGGGCAAACATGTAAGTCTGGGCCCAGTGTCAATGTGTGTCTACACCATGTAATCTACAAACCCACCACTGCAGGTTTCAGAGCTTTGAACAGAGCATGTGCACAGATCTGAAACTGTGAAGTTAACAACTGTAGATTTTGAGGATCTTCACGATGATTATTGGGGCAAAGTGTTTGGAATCTATCTGTGACTGCTTTTAATAGAAGATTTAAAACTTATTTTCTATACAGTACACCTTAGACTGTTAGGTCAAGGTCAAAGTGTTTAAGTGAAATGCACAGTTAGGAAACATGTTTCCCTGTACAATGAAATTCTTACTTTGCCGACTACATGAATGCAACACAATACAAGTGAAATATAAAGTAGATGAGCAATAACACAAATCTAAATAGGCAGTAACACAACTAAGGAGCTGTAAAGAAGCAAGTGAAGGAAGCAAATAAAAATACAACAGGAACACAATATATTGCAGAGAGAATATGTGCTACGTGGGAGCCATGGAGTGTAAATACTCAGCAGTGAGTGTGCAATTATGCATGTGCAAAATGAGTATGTAAACCGTACCGATGGAATTACATGAGGTAGATCCTGAGTCAGCTGTTTAGGAGTCTGATGGCAGAGGGAACGAAAGAGTTTTTCAGTCTAGAGGTCTTGCATTTTACACTCGTGAGCCTCCGACCGGAGGGTAGGGATATAAACAGGCCGTGCTGAGGGTGGGTGGGGTCCTTGAGGATGAAGGCAGCTTTCCTACGCACCCTGTGTTGGTAAATGCTCTGCAGAGAGGGCAGTGGAGTCCTGGTGATCTTCTCCGCAGTCTTTACCACTCTCTGCAGGCGCTTGCGGTCCATAGCAGTTAGGTTGATTTTGTCTTTGTGGGAGGCGACACAGTCGTGGGTGAACAGGGTGTAGACCAGGGGTGGGCAAACTTTTTGACTCAAGGGCCACATTGACTTTTAAAATTTTTGTTGTGGCAATTCTCAGAACAGATCTGAGGTGTTCATCACTCAACTGGGATCTGTGGGGTGCTTTGTTGGTGTTCATCACACTAAAAGTCTGTTCACACACATAGGTAGAGCCAAACAACACCAGCATCCTCTGTGCCATCTTCTGGATGTTTGGAAATTTGGCTGCACTTAATGAAGCATAAAACTCATCCAGTTTAAGAGAGTTGAACTTCTCCTTTAAGACGGTGTCACATTGGAGATCAGTTCCAACTGCAACTCCTCAGCCGTCCATGTCACAGCCCCATTGGGGCACCTCCTAGCTGTTAAAGGTGGGTGATGATTAGTGGCAGAGCACACTCCCAGACGGCATAACCGGGCCACCGTTTTTTAACCTTTATAGCCTATTTAACTTTTTTGTGTATACATATATAAGCACACACACATATCTATGGACACATGTATTGTATTTCAAAATGTAGCAAAAACAGCCATTTAATATATGTGACATATTTCTACAGTTACACATACTTCATCTGCATAAATGCTCATACATTGACTAGTAGTTTATGCCTGCTTACCTTAACTGAACATACTTCACAAAATATGTCCAGTTCTTGTGTCACGTATGCATGTGGTATCAAAATATGCCAAAAGTTAATACAGTAGTATCTGTAAGATACTTGCACAAATACCAAGTCGCACTTTGGGCTTTTACTAGAGAACTCAAATTTCCAGCCCCTGCACTAGCTTTTTAAACATTTCTTTATTTTGGCACATCATTTCAACTAAAAGCATGCTGTAACTATGCGGACAACTGCATCTGAGAGTTGAAGGCTTGCATTCCGGGCCTGCCGCATGTACTGTGGCTATAGAGATGTGCCATAGCCACTGTACTAACCTCCTGCTGTCTTCCCAAGCCAGCAAGGATCAGCTGTTCTTGGGAATAAAATTCTGACGCTATATATGAGCATTTCATGCAAACAGCATGCATTATCTTCACCTGAATTTATTTTTCATGTGTGTATTCCACCATTAGCTCCAGAAATAGTCTGGAAACAACAGTTTGACAACATACAAGATTTATCCAAACAAGCTCTTTTCTGGGGATCGTATTGATTTTAATCAATAAAGCAGATTAAAATCATATTTTGTGTTGGTACAGTTTGGACAGCCGAACATCTAGGCCACTGCTGTATTTTGCTTTCCAGTCTTAAATTTGTACTGTAGTGCTGAGTTAGTCAGCTGCCATTCCCGGGAGTGTCCACAGGGCGTCGCTGTTCTTCCTAGCTCAATTCAATCCTCAGTTATTGGGAGAGCTGAAAGGACTACTTTAAGAGATACTTGGCGGTTTTGAGTTATGTTTTGCTTACATTCATGTACAACTTCACTTTAATTATGCTTATGTCACTTCCATAGGAATAACTGATGTACTGTATATTTGATGGAGACAATGAGAATATCTCACAAGTCATTGTTAATGGCAATGTAACTTTAATATTGTGTTTTCATTTCTCTCTTGTTCAGTAGAACCACACCCAATAAAGTGAATATAATTATGCAAGTGTCCAATCTTGTGTCCTGACGGACAGCCACTGGCGAGGGTCGTACTAAAACAATAAAAAACAAAGCAGAAATTGAACTTAACTATGAAATCAAACCCATCACCAAGTAAGCTTAGAGTAAAAGATTATTCAGGTGGACTAATATCAATTTGTCCTTGCACAGAATTTGGGCGAGCTATAGGTTTAACTTGTTGATGTTTAGCTCAGAATATCTAAGGTGACTGCTTTAGAGATGAGGCCTCTTAGCTTTACAACCCTATGAACTTAATCAGGATATGCTGCAAATTTGCATATTTGGCAAGTTGCACATGCATGCTTTAGAAGGGGACTATATTCTTCTGCTGCTAATATGC